CACCTTAATCTCAACTTGCTGGACTATACACTCTGCCAAGCAGCTGGAAAAATCCACAGCCTGGTGACTTTTTCACCAGACTGTAAACTCTCCACTTATTACCTTCAGTTCCCAACAACAAAAAGAAGAAATAAGGGGAACTACAAATGGACTTGACATGAGAACCCTCCTATCTCAGTACCAAAATCCTCCCATTATCCTCTGATTCTGGAGACATCATGGAAAAATAAAATTACTTTCCACTAAGATTATATCTTGTATTTTCAAAGATATTTAATCTTCACTTATTATTGATAAGAAATGGATCTTATTTATAAAATGTTTCCTCATCTGTAAAATGACTTAATATAAATAGTATTTATTAAAGTATTTTTTTCTGAAAGTAACAGGAGCACACAAATGCAGTCTCACACTACCACGGAACACAAATTGAGTTTCTCACACTGAGGGAAACTGCAAGGGTCTCTACATTCGAAGTACAGTAAATAAGCCTTGCTGTGGGACAGCCATGACAAAGGGATCTTCCCTGCCTGGTAAGTACATAAACAGGATTTTTAAAGTTCCCCTCTGGCCTGGTGGTGGTGGCGCACGCCTTTAATCCCAGCACTCGAGAGGCAGAGGCAGGCAGATCTCTGTGAGTTCGAGCCTGGGCTGGACCGACAGCCTCCAAAACAATACAGAGAAACCCTGTCTCATAAAAACCACACAAAAAAAGCTCCCTTCTGGACTGAAAGTTGCAGAATCATATCTAGAACAACTGTGTGAAACCATAATTAGAAATAAAATGTGTAGAAGTTTTGTTATTTATCAAATTTCACCATCTACAGTGACCAAGGACATTAGTTGTTGGGTCAATAGTTAGTTTGCTTAGTCCTCTATGTAGCACAGCTGATCTAATTCAACTGGAAAGATATTTTTACTTAGTGATGAATTCTCTTATTGAGGTGCTAGATGCCAATAATTCATGTGCTAACTCTATTTTTTAAAATATTAGTTTAAATATTTTAATTTTTAAAAAATTTCTAGGTAGCTGTACTCTGATTCCATCTTCATAATTGTTCAAAGTTATAATATTTTTGCAGTCTACTGAACAAAGACAGATCAATGTGGTCTTGTAAGGTTTCTAATTGCAAACTTAAAACTTATTATATTTGAAATTTAGAAGTTAGAAAAGTAAAATGACTCCACTCTGAAGGTGAGTTTTACCTTAATAAACTTGCTACACTTTAATCTGGGAGGGTTTGAGGCTTCCAAAGCAGTCCATCCTAATTGCGATTGTCTTTGGAAGCGAACATACAGTGACTGCTGAGCAGAAGGAAGTGTGTGGCTCCCAGCTTTAACTCCACTCCATAAGTAAGCGAAGATCATCAGGTGCTTTCCAAAGCAGGCATACAAGAACAGAAGATTCACTATGGTCTTTTTTCTAAGTGACTTCCCAGTTCTTTCTTTGTGAAAGCATTTGGCTACTTTCAAGTAAATCAAACAAAGGAAGTTACAGTAAAATCTCCTAGAGACTACATAGTTTGGCACCAGCTGAGGGAAACACCACATGCCATAGGGCAAGACAAAAAAGGGGCCTACAGGTCCCCAAAAGAGAGCTAAAGCGAGTCTGTACAGCAAAGCACCGATACTTGGCATGATGCCACCTAGAATGCAGCCCCACTGAGCAAAAGGAGCCTGAGCTGGTGTCTCCTGGGAGGGTATTTTGGTTTTCATGACAGTAAATGATCCTCTCCTGTTGAACCCATTTCACCTAGAAGTTAAATATGTTGGAAGAATTGCATAACAACAAGCCTCACCCCTGGATAACAATGGCAGGGAACTTGGTGGGGCTGTGAGTTTGGTACTTATTCTCAAAGATCAAACATGCAAAAGTAGGGAAGTACAAAAAGAAAAAAGAAAAAGAAAAGGAAAACTGAATGCTTATTCCATGACAGTGCTGCTACACAATATTTCAAGACTGCTATTTTAGTTCATAATTGTTTCCCCTGCTATAGTGTCCTATCAGCTGGTCAGAGTCACACAAAGGGGGAAATCCTTCATTTAATTCCTTTTGAGAGATCTGTTCATTTATAAATCTTGCAAGAGAGTTAATTAAAAGACTGGGTGAACTAGTTCCAAATTCAGTGAAGGAACCAGTTCCTAGATATACCAATGTAGAAATATTTAGATTAAGCAAAAAGTACTACTGGTCACATTTATTTCAGAGAGCTAACTCCCAAACACTTTGATTTGCTAAGTTTTCATAAGATTAGAATTTCAGATACTGAATCACACTCAAGAATACAACTCTATTCTATAATTTAAAAAAAACAATAGAAAAGTAATTTAAACAATAAGGAAAGAAAGAGTAATTAAACAACAATGAATAAAGATCTATTAGCTAAATCTTCCCTTTCATCTTTGAAGACAATAAAATAAGAACTCTGTCTGAACCTGGGAATTCCTCAGTTCCAGTAGCCCTGCTACAAAGGTATGAATTCTCTATTTTATGCTCAAGCTACAAGCATTGGGAAGGAAACCCTACTAGTGAAACTGCTGCCATAATTTGAATGACAATAAAATCAAAAGAATAGAACAACCCCTCTTTCTCTTTCCTTTGAAAGAGAAATGGGGGGGGGGGTAAGAGTAGACAGGGAACCAGGGAATTTCAAGACAATGTTACTATCTTAAGCTAAGTTAGGGAAAGCAAAGAGAGCTTGAATTTTGTACACTAATCCACAAGAAGGAAAGGATGCCTTGAGTGCTTATGCACCAGTTCCCAGAGCTATGGCAGTTTTGCTCCTTACCTGTGTTACAAGCAATGCCTTCCAGCCCAGGCTAAGTCTGGAATTAGTGTCTAGGCTAGAGGCCAACAAGATAACTAACTGAACATTAGAAATTTGAACCAGACCTAACCAATAAAGATCTGTGTTAGAAGGATAAGCCCTTCCACCAAACATTCCACAATTCACATTGAAGAATCGCTAAGTACCTCTGAACTTTCCCTTTCATGTATTTGTCTCATAGGGATCTTGGCCTTGATCCCTGATGCTCTCCCAACCTCAGCAAGTCCAAAGCCTTTTGAGTGGTGTTAGGCAGGACACTATCCTCAGCACCAAGTGTGTGTGTGGGGTGTGTGTGCCACACATGCGCGTGTGTGTAATTAGAGTCGGATCTTAGAGCTCATACATGGTGGCAAGCACTGTACCAATAAGCCACATTCTCAGCCACGGTGCTATTATTCATGTATGCTAATCAGATTATTTCTACTAAATGCCACTTTACCCATCTGTAGATATTGCCTATTGCAAAGAGTCTCTGGATATTCAATATGGGGTGAAGGACTTCACTGAGTGTCTATATGCAGCATCTACACGTGTAGATGTACAGTGGCTGTCCACCATCAAAAATTCAAGACCTGATGCAAACCACAGAAACAATCTATTCCAATTACTTAGTTTCATAATAAGGAAATGAAAAGATTTCAAAATGATTTAATTGCTCTGGAGAATATTCCCAGTAAAGGTTAAGCTAGAATTTAAACTCATGGCTTATATTCAGATTCTTTCTCTTGGCAGTCTCTATACTTCATATGAGGCTATAAAGGGAGAAAATTGGGTCAAAAATGCTTGTTTCCCCTGCTGCCTGTCACAACTGATTTTCATTATAGTCTTCTCTCTAAATCAAGATCATCCCTAACATTTGCCAGGACAATACTGAAGGCCTAAATACTTAAAAATATAGACTAAGCTATCTCCTCTTTGTAACCTGACAGTCCGTCACAGTCAGAAAGGGCAGCTAGAGCCTAAACTCTTTCAACTCTGCGCTGTACCTGCCCTGTGCTTGTCTGACCATGGGGAAACTTGCAGTCAAGCTTGGGTGAGGCCTCTGCCACAGCCTGCATGTGCAAATTCCCACACACTTTCTCCCCAGTCCTGCTGCTGCCTCATGGCTGTCCCTGGGGCCTCGGCCTGTGTAACTCTGCAAAAGCACGTCCACACACAGGCCCTGGGAAGAGGGTTCAGAACCCTTTGGACAAACAATGAGAAATTCGGCCAGAGGCACAGTGAGGTCTGGAGGGGATCACACAGTCCCTTGGGTCTGATCAAGTCCTTTGTGTTCAGATGGAGAATATACTAGGGATTCCTTCAAGCCTAGGGATCAGTAGAAGGTCCCTGTGTTAAGGGAAGCCCCTCTCTCACCATCATCACTGATAAATCCTTCAACAACCTGCTTCTCTTTGACTGACAGAGTACTACATGAATCTTTTGATCATTAAGATCTATTTTCTTTCAATTCTGTTAAGGCCAGCATTTCCCATAGTTATTGATTGTTTAGTGGTATAGAAAGTGACTCATTAAACATTACAGCAATTGGCTTGCCTTAGTTATGATCACCTTCCAGTGTCAGATATTCTGGTTTCCTAGTAGCTCCAGGCTTGTAGAATTGAGTGACTTTATTCTCTCCCTCCCTCCCTCCTTCTCTTCTTCCCTCCCAACTAGTTGGTTCAGGCAACTAAACTAGTTGGTGCAGGCTCTTGTAGAGCTGGAAAAATAAACCTTTGTACCTAGAAGGACTCACTTCTCCAGTGATGGTATCAATATGTGATTTTAGGATGCCTCAAGAAAGTACCATTCATCTCCCATTCCCAGCTGGTGTGAGGTTCCTTAGCAAACAGTTACCGAAGTGTTATATCGTGACTCTTCAGTCTAAAGAAGCATTGGTATCAAAGACTGCTCTTCCTAATGTCAGAACATCCATTTCCATCACTTGGATCCAAATCTGTCTCAGGCAAAGCTGCTAGAGACAGAAGAGGTCCCAGTAGGGCTTGGGATTGAATGCAACTGCAGTTGAATGCCACACACTATATGCTTGTCTTTTGCCGCTCACCATGCCAGGCACTAACAAGCCTTGTGATTCTTTTCACCTGAACCCTAGATCAGACACTGTGCTTCTCAGTCCAAAAGGGGAAGGAACACCTCCCACTCCTCCCCAGTCCGGCCCCACCTCCCTAGGATTGTTCTGACCCGTCCTTCCTCAGCCACTGTTGTTGCAACCCTGTACTTTTCTGACTGCGTCTGTCAGGAAGGCGGCAGGAAATTCTAGTCACCCTCACAGCAGCTGTGCCATTCCTCCTATCCTCCTCTGATGACGTGGGTTGGCTTTGGTGACAGGAGGTCAGGAACTGAGCCATAATGAAGGTCGGAAAGAGAGGTCACTGTTTGTGCTGCGCTCGGGCTGGGGATCCCGGTGGGGCTGTTTGCTTTCTTCCTTTCTATACTGTTTCTCTTTCCGTTCCTCTTTTTGGGCAGAGCCCAGGCATCCTGTTTTCAAAACATTAGGCTGTTTTTCGGCAGATGAACTCACGCTCTGATGCGTTTTGCCGAAGTGTGAGACAATTCTTCCAGGTGAGGAGGTGACAAAACTTGAAACATACCAATTGATGAGCAAATCTAAGAGGGAAGGGCTGGGACACGGCTAACTTGACTTGGGCTGCTCACTGAGGGGTCCAGGCATTCTTCCCACACCAGAAACCATGACTGTGTCTGCCCTCCAGTCTCCTGCTTACCTGTCCCTGACTTCTTGCCATTTGTATTTTATAGCTTTTTAATTTTGAGAAAATGTTCTCTAATACTAACTCATCTGGCTCTAGGTTTCTGGAAAACTTTGAAATTCCACTGGGCCTGTTGCTAGTATCTAGGGTCAAGAGAACCGTTTTGGTTAGGTACAGGAGCAGTTTATCCATTTTCCTGTAGAAGCATAGGGAAAGTCACACCTCTGAATCACTCCTTCTCTTTAGGCCACAGACGGGTCAAGGAAAATCATAAATAAGTCATAAACAAAAACAAGAAAGTGTCGCCTTGGCCAGATACAAGAACTCCTAAAGACTGCCTGCTTTTACTCTACCAAGCTGGCAACTCTCCATCTTTCCTGCAGAGACACAGACTGGCACCTAGATCAGTCAGTCTCACTCCCTTCATGGCACAGTGGCTCTACCATCGACACTCTGAATCAGCTCCAACTCTGCGAACAAAAGCCTTCGGGTCAGCACTGAAGAGTAAGTAGGGACACAGATGTGGTTTTGCAACAATGTAGTAGGCCTAAGTAAGTGATCCCCCACATGCCAGGGGCACTTTATCGAATGCTTTGGGCCCACTAACCCTGTTGAGGCGAGGCCCACTTTTATATTGTAAAACTGAATCTTTAGGCAGTTAAGTAAGTCGGGTCATATACAACAGCTAGTAAGTGAGATGGACAGAATTTAAACCATGCTTCTCCAGATCCAAAGCTCTTCATCTTTGTCCACCTCCTGTAAAGTACGCACTCCCTTCCAGCTCTGTGATTCAGTCTCCTTGTGGCTCCTTTGGGCACTGAGAGTAAGCAAAATGTGGCCAAATCTGACTACTTAGTGATAACTAAGATGGTATTTCCAAATAGCTGCTTATACAGAAATCTCTGATGATTTCAGCATTTAAATTTTAATGTGGAGTATTCCTTTTGTTGTCCATCACTTTGTCTCACCTTTCTAGATAATGTCGATGAACTTTTTCTGGGGGTCTCACTTTCTCATGTTGTTACTATCCATGGGGGCCTCACTATATTCTTTCTCGTGTTGTTACTATCCAGGCTACCCTGCTTGCCCTTGTGCTCAGGGTCACCCAAGGCAATGAACTGAATGAAATGAATCAATGAGCTGAGGGGGAGATAACTCTTTAACACAGCATTCTCTTCACTCACTGGATGGCTGCTATGCCCTGCCACCTTTTCTAGAGAACAGGCCAGGCAGCACACTTCTGTTTCAGCTAAGGAACTTCGTGTGGCATTTCTTTAGAGTTGGCTCTGTTCAACTTTCATTGCTTCCTGCATAGGACACCCTTGGGGAGGGCTGGGATTCTCTGGTCTCAATACACACCTCCTTTCATATTTAACGATACATTGTTAATCACTTTACAAGACAGTGAACAAGGTCAGCACTCTAGACCCACACTAGACATGAAAACTCATGGCAATGTGAAGGTTCTTTAGGATGTTCTCCCCCCTGCCCCCTCCCCTGGCTAGTCCCCTGCTTTGTCCTGGTGACTCCAGAAACTCATGTCCTTGATGATGAAAAACTACTGAAAAGACCACACCGGAATTTTGCATCCACAGGTTGCATCAAATATCACAGAATAAGAGACAACAGGACACTTGCTGATGCCGTGAAGCTGCCGAAGCCCGTGTGAAACAGTCTATGTAAATCCCAGAGTGATTTGGAGAAGCTACACAGTGAAGCCCCCAGCATGGGGAAGCGGTTGGGTTTTACACCAACCTGGAAAGTCCCTGCTAAACAGGGAGCTTGGTAGAAGTCAGAAAATACTAGTTAAAACCCCAGTGTGCCCTGTTTCTTTATTCCCCACCAAGTGGAACTCTGAGCTAAAGTTTCAGAGGGGGCTCATATCTGCTTCTGTTAGGGATTAATTCATGAGACAGTAAGGAGGACACCAACACCACACACACCCCAGCATCTCCAAAGGATACCCTGTTTCCTCTGCCACGAGGCTCTGTAGAGGAGCCAGCAAGCTCTGCTCCAAAGTGATGCCTTTTACCCAGGGAAGAAGAAGGAGAGTGCTGTCAGGTTTGGACTTTGGGCTGGAAGGGTAGGTGTGGTAAAAAGTTTCTTCCAGCCTCAGAAATATAAGACAATAGCTAACACCTCAAGGCAGAGATGTAGGGGGAACTCCATGAGGTGCAGTGTCCAGGCTTTCCCTCCAAGTACATGAATGTAAATAAATATATAACTTCACAACTTTTATCACACACACACACACACACCTGCACACACAGACACGCACCTGCATATACACACCTGCAAACACATACACGCTTAGCTAAAATTCTGCATGAAAACATGTAAACAAGCAGAAAAAAAACTAGCAACAGCCCTCACTATATAATGTCAATAAATTAGTACTTCATGTCCAGATGTTAATTAAACAAATGAGATAATGACAGATAATTAAACCTCCTCAATGCTAAGTTGTGTTTTGTTTTTCTTGATATTGTAAGTAAAATCGATTTTTTTCCACTATAGATTTTAATTTTAAGTGAGTTCACCTTTAAAATTGGGAAAAACAAAACCCAATGGCTTTCTGTGGTAGAAAGCAAAATATGTTGTTTCTTTCTTTCTTTTTCTTTTAATCCCAAACCCTGTCAGCATCACAAAAGAAGTGTAATAAATCCCCAAATGCCCTTCTTCCCAGCAAGGGTTTGTCAGGCTGAAAGATACTCTGTTTTCTCTTTAAAAAGTACTGGACCTACTTTCTCATCAAACACGTGTATGCTGCACTGATTAAAATGTGGCAAGTCCAGCACTCTGTCAGGTGAACTGAAGAAGATTTCAGTTTTCTACTGTTTAAAAAGAAAAGGCATCAACATTTGTAAAAATGATCTGGAAGCTACACAGATGTCTCTCACTTAGATCCAATACTGTGCGGGTTCAAAGATTTATTTCTGGGCATTAACACGGATTAAGAAATTTCAGTTTACTGTGGTCCCTGGGCACAAGCAAAGAAAAGGTGGCACTTCTACAAAGTCTGGGACTGATCCACAGACAGGCTGCAGCCTGGAGCTTCGGTTGTAGTTTAGAGAAAGGGGTGTTCTTACCTTGTTTGAAGCCATCTCGCTGACAGAGCGGTAGGTCTGGATGGTCTCTAGCTGGTCTAAGCACCAGTCTAGTTCCTCCAGTGTCTCCATTGCTAGTTTCTGATATGATTCTTCTGCAAACAAACACACAGACAGGTAGTTAGGCTGCAGCGGCTGCAGGCTGGCCATAGCCGAGTCTCCTCCGCCTCGGCTGCTCCCGGCGCCACTGACGGTGCCCCCTTGCTCCTTCATTGTTTGCTTGCCGACTCCTTGCTTCCAAGCTCTCTCTGGTGCTCTGCCCGGGGGTGGCTGGTGCCAAGTTTTCACCCCCTCGCCTGGATGAGGTGTCAGTGATCTACCAAGAAACTTCCTCAGAGGAAGAAGGCGGGAACCTGCGCCCAGACGCTCATCTGCATAACTGAGCCCTAAAACTCCGGGCTGAGCAGAGTTTTCTCAGGCTGCCTCTGCCTTAGTCATCCCGGGGCTCTGTGGGGTGTGTGATGTCATTTCTGAGTGTTTTCACTCTGGAGGAGAAATGAGGAAGGCTTCCCCTCCTTTTGCTTTGCTTTTAGGTGAAACCTTCTCGCTATAGCCAGGTGGGGGCAATTGTGTGACTGTGCTGTTCCCCAGGAAGAGCACTCATTCATTCTGGGGGAAATACTCCAGTTAGGTTCCTTTGGACTCAGCGACACTGATCCACCACCGAGGCATAGGCTACTCCTTTCTTTTCGTGGATTCTCTCCCTAAACTAGAGGTAAAATGAGGTCTCCCCGATGATAAGACTCCAGTCTAGAGAAACTGTCTGGAGTTTTACGTGAACACGTTTATTGGCCTGGGAGTCTTGTGGCTCTTGTTATAATAAACAAAGCCAAGACTTCCCTTGGGTAGTGCCAGGGTCACAGAGAAACTCTGAACCGGACTTTCAGGTGGAGCCAGACTTGTGCTTTTCCTTTGCATCGATGCTAGGGGGTCTCCTTTGTTGCTGTCTGGAAACTTTTCAGTGTTCCATACCAAAATAAAAAACCAAACAAACAAACAACCCCACGTGAGGGGGGACAAGAAACCAACAGTGCGTTCAAGATCATACATCTGGCTATGATTGGAACGCTCTGCTTTTTCACTTCCCAGGACACGGCATTCCGTATCCAAAACTTTGTGGGTCCCAATAAATATTTCAGGCTATTGACTTAAGACTTAGGTTAATAAACACCGAATTTATGTTGTAATTTTAGGTGAATTAATGTAGCTTAAGGTACATAAAGCAGGCAGACTCTCCACATACAAGTGAGAGGACCAGCAGCTAATCACACATTCCAGAACACAAGCATACAACAGGCACTGATAAGATACAACGTTCCTGCCTGCTTTAGAATGCTTACACAGTGACTTGAAAGATGTTTATGAAGAAGCCTTCTGAGATCACAGAGCCTTTCATTACCACATGAAGAACTTTACGTGTGTTGCATCAAATATCTGGCGCAGAAGGACAGAACTGAAGTGTGACTGCAGGGAGACGGGGTGGCCTGTCCCATAAATGCACACTTCACAGAACGGGACACTTGTTTATCCTTGCAGGGTGCGCACACTTCAGGGAAAAGAGGGGTTAAAGCTCAACATCCTGTATGTCATACTTGAAAACCCACAGAACCACCGGAGGTGACTCCCTCCATCTTCTTTTCCACACCCCTCAATGTGCAGACAAGCATTTAGGTGTCTTTCAATAAAACTCACTTCGAGCCAGACTTTCACATACCTCGCCTCTCTTCTTCATCTCTGCAAGGCTGCCTCAACTCCAAGATTCTCCTCTCTCTCTCTAGTGTGTCCCGCAGGCAGCACCCCTTCCCCCCAGTTTTCTAAGGGGAACACTTCTTCAACAAAGCTTTGCCTGAAGGGACCGAACCCTTGCACCCCCACTTCCTGCCTCCCTCCCCAGCTGCTTGGGCTTCACTGCCTTGGTGTCTTCCACACCACCACCTGCAGCCTCTGTAACTGGGACCAGACATTCAGCAGGCCAGCCAGAAGAGGAGGGGTTTGCTCAGAGCTGTTGGAATCAGCAGATATGCAAAACGACTGTAAGATAAAACAGCGCAAGGCAAGGCACATTTGTCCGCAGAAGAAAAGGGGATCCGATTTCCACTCCAGATTCACACAGGAGACACAGAAGTATGCAGCAGAGGCACTGAAAGGGGAGACCCTTTTCAGGGGTGTCCCCCAGAGCCCCACTGCTGCGAGTGGAGCATATACAGCACAGCCTTGCTACCATCAGAGCAAGCAAACTGAGATGTGCCTGCCTGCCTGACAGACCCTAGAGCATCTTGCTCCTGTAGCTTTCTCCTTTAGGCTAACCACAATGTTTTTTTTTTAAAGCAGACTATTTCATCTTCAAACTCTGTTGGATTGGTCACTTTCCAAATTCTTTCCCCCCGTAATAACTGCTTATTTATTAAGATATTTTATTAATTCTTTCATAATTTCACACATTGTCTCCATACATATATTTTCCAAATCCTTATCCCACGGTCAAGATTTCATGCCCCACTTATCACAAATAAGGCAGAGGGCACAGACACAAGTGGGAGAGAGGGATGTTCTAACACTTGCTACTCAGGGTTGTAACTAGGAAAAGGGCCAGTGTAGCTTAACCCTGGCCTCCACCTTGTGGCTTCTTAGCCCTGGAACCACAGTCAAGTGTTTGGGACCCAGCAGATACCCAGGTGATACCAGTCCAGATGGGGATGAAATGCCTGGGCAAGCCGCTCACAGAGCCTTGGGCACTGGTGAGACAGAGAGCTTGCGTACACTGTGGTGGGAAAGCACCAGCCCCGCAGGGAGAACCAGGCAGCCTGGCTTTCTCTTTGAATACTTACTGTGTGATCTTAGGCTCCCATACACTACAACTGTAAAAGGAGAATATGCATGTTCAAGTTATAAAGAGAAAAGGCGACAGGGTGTATATAGTGTTTAGCAAAGAAGTCAGCGTTCAGTAGGTGCGGTGAGCGGTATGTCGGAGCAGTTAGTACTGACAAGCAGAGAAACCCAAAGGCCCAGCACCAGGGAGGATGAGGGTGTGAGGAGGAAGCAAGACAGCAGAACTGCACGTTCAGTGAGAACCTTTTCAGCAAAGATCTGCAGCACATTTTTGCAGAGCCTGGGACAAAATGAAAGTGCCAAACCCCAGGAAAGAGAACTGGTGGAAGAGCTGGAACATGGAGTTTTTCCCTTCCTTCTGCATTCCCTGTCATTGTTCCCCATGATGTTCTTATTTTACAAAACTTTCACACAGACAGAGAAGCTGCAAAGATAATAGAGCCCCTACACGCTCTCATCCTGCTTTCCTTGTTGCTAACTAGTGTTTTACATCACTGTAGTACCTTTGCCTCAGTTAGTGAATGGCTTGGTGAGTTTCACTTAACATCGTGTTCTTTCAGGCATAGGATACCATGCATGGAGACACAGACCCTCCAGGGGACTTGAGGGGCTGTTCCTATGACTGAGGATGTGCGTGCAGCTCACCAGCTACTGGCAACCCCTCATACAGCAGCCAGGGTGCTGTGCTTTGCCTGGTCTGGGAAAAGCAAGGCAAGTGTTTTTCTTTACTACAAGTGTTGGGCAAGGGGGTTTCCAGTATCTTACTTCACAGTATAAGCACAGAATTGTTTGGTTTTCAGTAGAGTCCTAAAGGTACTGCTAATCCTTCACCGAGACTGGCTGGGTATCTAAGTCAGAGGTTGTGCTGATAACAAAAACTAGTCATTTGGGAAGAGGGAACCTTAACTGAGATGTGCCCATCAGATTGCCTGTAGGCAAGTCTGGGGGGCATTTTCTCGATTCATGATTGATGCTGGGCGGGTGTTATAGGTAGTCTTGCAGTATATAAAAAGAAAGCTGAGACAGTCGTGGAGAACAAGGTAGTCAGCAGCATTCCACCATGTTCTGCTTGAACTCTTGCATCCAGGTTCCTGCCATACTTGAGTTCCCATCTTGGAATCCTTCAGTGATGGACTGTGATCAATTGTTGCCAAATAAACCCTTTTCTCCCCAAGTAACTTTTGGTCATGGCCTTTATCATGGTAGTAAAGAGCCTACTGGAACATGATAAATAAGAAATTTGTCCCATGGAGACACGGGCTCTGTTTGCCATATTGCACCCTTGCCATCTCAGAGCACAGACAGGTCTTAACTATTTCCCATCTTAAGACTTTGCACAGCACACTCACCCAACTTATATACTTCTTGCGCCTGTACCCAGCCTCTGCTGGAGATCATAGGAAGCAGTAGTCACAGGTGGTGATGGGAAGAAGGAGGGTGGATAGCTTCTGGGATGCCAAGGATCAGAGGAAGAGAGTGGTTAAGAAAATTGGGCTATGGATGTAGCTCAGTGATAGCGTGTGCCT